CACGTCAGTTATGATATCCATTTCTCTACTATAAGTTGTGCCACAGGGTTGTCCATTCTTTAGTTCTACAACCACCCTTTAGCACCAAACTTGGCCTGGATCCCACCACATCTAGTCCTGCAAGTCATGGATCTGCACAACCACTTGTCAACATAGTACTTACCCATCTAAAATAAGGACTGATGGCAAGCCCATCTTCCAAGAAAGGCCTAGTCATCTAATGCCAGGACCCCCCAGAGAGCCCCTGAGAGGATTATGACTTAACATCAACAGCTTAGCTTTCTTTTGGGATTAGAATTTCTATGATTATCACCATACTGTTCCTTAATTTATATTTTTTTTACATGCTAAGTTCATTATGGACTGAAAAATCCATGGAAGAGTCAATAGATACACAATCCCCATTTGGGCATATAATTCCCTTTTTGTTCTTTTCGTCTTGAGAGTAAGGAACTTATTCACAAGGCATTAAAAGAGTACCAACTTAAGTACAAACATCTGAATAAACGAGATACAAAATAGAGTAGTTCTAGATTGCCTAAGTAAATCAGAATTCTAAATATAAATGATATTGCTTTAGAGTCTATTATTATAATTTTAGTAACTTCATGATTTTATTCTCATTAATGTTTACTTTCCCTATTTGTATTTGTAGTATTATTTCCTAATTCCATTACTACTAGTATTTATTAGCTTTTTTTAATCCTATGTAGTAAAGATTACTTAGGAAGCATTGCAAACATTTTTGTAGCTTTACTTTTTGAGACAAACTTCAGCTATTTGATACTTAAGACTCCTTAAATATGTTGCCTAACAAACAGTAAGTTGACCTCACTCAAAGAGACAGAGTACAAGTCCAAAGAGACTCTCTTTGTGAAACCAATGCACAAGTCCAAGGCTTGTGTGTTCCTCAAGGAAAATTTTGGCATGACGTAAAATTGGATGTGCTTAATTTCTTCAATGACTTCCACAGGCATAGCTCCTTTGTAAAACCAATAAATTTCACTTTCATTGTTTCGATCCCCAAGAAAAAGGGGGCCAACTGCATCACTGACTTCAGGCCGATCAGTTTAATCAGATCTGTTTACAAACTTCTATCAAAGGTATTGGCCAGAAGGTTCTCCAAATCACTTTTCATTATCGGCGAATGCTAGTATGCTTTTATTGAAGGGAGGCTAATCACCGACACATTATGATTGCAAATGAAGTGGTTGATGATCTATCTCGCAACAAGAATAGTGGACTCTTATGTAAACTAGATATGGAGCAAGCTTTTGATAATGTCAACTAGGAATTCATTGACTACATGCTCGAGCAAACTGGATATGGAATCAAATGGAGGAGGTGGATAAGAACCTGCATTTTCTCTACTCGCTTTGCAGCCATGGTTAATGGTGGTCCTTCAACGTTTTTCACTGCCTCTAAAAGTTTAAGACAGGGTGATCCTCTTTCTCCTTTGGTTTTTATTTTTATAATGGAAGCTTTGAATAAAATGCTACTACAGGCCAGAACCCTCAATCTTATCAAATGTATCACTGTCGAGTATGCAGAGAAAATGGAGATCACACACCTATTTTTTGTCGATGATACCTTACTTTTCTGCCAACCAGATATCAGCACTCTTCTTCACTTAAGGTGTATTCTCCTCTGCTTTCAAGCGGTATCCGGACCGCGCATCAATTTGGCAAAATCTGAGCTGGTCAGTTTGGGCTCAAATATTAACACTGAATTATTGGCCCAGGTGTTAAATTGCAAAGTGTCACAGCTCCCTATCAAATATTTTGGAGTCCTGCTTGGTGCTAACTATAAAGATGGTGCTACTTGGGAAACGGTCATCAATATTTCTGAAAAAAGGCTTGCAAATTGGAAGAGGAATTTCCTCTCCAAAGGAGGGAGACTAACCCTCATAAAAAGTACACATGCCAACCTCCCAACATACTACCTTTCTGTCCTCACCATTCCGGTCAGTGTCGCTAACAGATTAGAAAACATTCAATGCAATTTTCTGTGGGGCAGCAAGGACAATAGAAGCAAATTCCATCTTGTAAATTGGGAGGATGTAAAATTGCCCAAAAATCAAGGGGGACTTGATCTTAGGTCTCTAACCACTATGAATAAAGCCCTACATGACAAATGGATTTGGAGATTCTGGAATGAGGGTGATAATTTGTAGAAAAGAATTGTTGAATGCAAGTAGAATATCAGTGGCAAATGTTTACACTACAGAGGCGGCTCTAATACTTATGGTAAAAGCCTATGGAGAGGCAAGTCTAGCATTAACAACTTGGTCTTTGATTGCTCATCTTGTGCTGTTGGCAGAGGAAATAAAAGTAAATTCTGGACCGATAAATGGTACAGTTCTTCCAAGCTTCAACATCAATTCCCTCTCATTTTTGCAAAAGCCAAGGACAAGAATATGCTGGTTGAGAATGATTTTGACATTGTTAATGGTAGTGGCTGGAACATCGTGGTTTCTAGGAATTTGAATGATTGGGAAATCGACGAATATGAAAGCTTATTAACCCTCTTATCAGCAATTAAGCTCACAGATAACAATGATAAACTTCACTGGACAATTGGTAATAATGGTACATTCTCGACCAAGACTTTCTACCATTATCTGGCCCCATACGACAGAACAAGTAGACCAGATTTCCCAACAAAAATGAACTGAAACAGTACTGCCCTTCCTCGGGTTTCTTTTTTCACATGGGAAGCAACCAAAGAAAGGATTCTCACCCTAGATGACCTCATGAAAAAAAGGTATTATTCTGGCTAACAGATGCTTTCTCAGCAAAGAATATGCTGAGTCTCGTAACCATCTCTTACTTCATTATCCTTTCACCCATAAACTATGGTTCGTGGTATTTGGGTTACTTGGCACCAGCTGGAGTACTGCAGGCACTATACAAGGCGAATTAAAAGCTTGGGAATTTCTATGCAAACGAAACAAGAATTATCAACTTATTCCTCTTACAATATTTTGGATCTTATGGAAAGAAAAAAAACAACCGTGCTTTTGAAGGCAAAGAGGATAAGTTTGGAAACATCAAGGACATTGTTTCACTTTTTTGGGTCCACCTCACTCAGACGTTACCTTTGTAACCTTGATGATTTTAGTTTTATTGTAAATATGCTCTTAGATTTGTAAATCTTTTGTACATGGGCAGCACCCTCTTGGTACTTACACTCGATATATTTATTACTCTTTTATCTCAAAAAAAGAAAAAGAGTGCAAGTCCAAGGAAATTAATGGACTTTGTGCAGCTTGAAGGCAAAACCCTAATATGCCAAAAGGAAGAGGAGTGAGACTCGAAGATCCTACGATACTTTTTATGAAAAAATAAAGTTGCAGTGACCAATTTCTGAAAATTTAAATTCATAAGAAAGAGCACAACTTATTGTTTTGTATTATATTGCAATAGTCTATATCTCTATACACGGAAGCTTTTGCACATAAAACATATTTCCCTCTTGAAAGTTCTCAAGTACCCAAGATATAGCAAGAAGAGATGCAAGCCTGCAAGCACCCAAAAGAGAAAAAACTTAAGTCTGACTCTGTAGATAATTAGGGATTCTCCTGAAGGACTGACAGAAACAATCTTAGAAAATTATAGGCACCTCCCCACATGATGATGAGTAAGGTCTTGACTAAGTAGCGAATATATGCTTAAAAGTAAATTAGCCAATATTTTCCTTACCCACATCTGTACAGGTTGATGAAGATGAATTTCAGCAAGATATTCCATTTCTGGGTCCGCCCTAATCCATGACAAGGGGGAGTCCATGCTGCAAACAATAATTTATTAGATTTTGATTGAGGAACGTATCACCACAAAAATGCTATGAAGGAAATATACCTGGAACGCGTGTCAACCTCGCCATTATCATCAGACCCATCAGGTTTAGCACCTTTTTTTGGTTTCTGGTAGCGCCTAGCAACAAGTTTAGAATGACATTGTATTTCCAGTAGTTGCCATGTATCTCCAGACATCGGCAGCTTTGGATGATCAGACATCCCATCTATCTCAAAAAACCTAATACTCATAATCCCAGGCCATCCAACATCACCATCTCGATTTTCAGAATCAGGATTAGCACTAAGAATCAATGTACTTGAATCAGGTGTAGCAGTGCATCCCCTTAATACTGCCATTTCAACAATATTCTTCCGTTTGTTGTATGAGAACCCCATCCTTGAAATTTTAAGGGCCAGGAAAAGATAAAAGCAAACAGTTAAGCTTAAACAATAGAATATTCCAGGAATACAGAAGAACAATGTTTAGTTAACATATAATACCTTAGAACTGGACACCCAAAAGACCCGACCCACCGATGAAAAAATTCCTTGAGAAATGGACGCTCAAGATTTCCAATCTTATTAGCAAAATGTCGGAACTGCATCTCAAAGTTTAATATATGGTTATGAAATTATAAATCAACAAATCTATGGGAAGCATAGTTAAATCCTGCAATAATAATCAAGAACAAGGGGACTACGTGGTCATCACTCGTCTGTCATTTCCAAGTACTTAGTTTGCAAGCATCATTAGTTCACAAGGCATACCCTTTTTTTAGAAAAAAGAGAATGACGTTGAAAGACGCCAAGGAGTGCCACCAATTTACAAGCTAGATACAATTCTCACAAAAAGAATAGATTAATAAGATCAACAAAATCAACCCCATCCTAAATAGATTGGCCCTTAAACAAAATAGAAATGGTTATAAGCCAATTATCCTCGCTTTAAGCAAAATAGAAGAGTAATTTCCAAAAGATCTACAACTCCTATCTTTTCAAGTGACCTAAACAAAGCCTCAAAAAGCACACATTTTAAATCAGTCAAACAAAATAACACATTCTGGAACAAATAAAAATTACATTCCTATAACAAAAAAGAAACCATGGGTACCACTTCTCAAAAACTTCAAAAATAAAGGATAAATACCCTTCTGCACTTAGTATAAGGTTTTAATGGAACAAGGTTTTAGTAAAATTGTGATCATATTACACTATTTGTTTTGTAACATTAGAATAAATATCGTTATGGGTGATCTATGATCTCATAGCAAAAATTTTAAAATTTCCCCAAATGGTACCAGGACAATCAGGCAGAACATTTTTGCTATGAGGTCATACATCACCTCATGAGGATAGACATGCTGCCAGTTCCTCCAGACATCTTGCTTCATTCACATCTCCCTTATGGTTAAAACAAGGTCAGATATGTCCAAAACTGTCTCTGAGGACTAGTTTTTATCTTTTGGACAATGCAAAGTGATCTTTAACAGTGGACAATAGGTGACCAGCAGTGGTGTGGTGAGTTTGCTTAGCTTTTGGATGCAACAATTTTAGATTGTTTGGTAAAAAACAAAATGTAAAATGGTTAAGGTTCTTTAATATGAATGCTGGGGATAAATTTGTCCATGTAAATTTAGTCTAGCCTTGAAAAGCCATTAGTCAACTTCTCAAGTAATAGCCATTCAATAAAATTGCTATTTGATATCTACCTATCAAACAGTGAAGTAATTGTAACACATGTAATATTTATTACATTATGTCTATGTTCATGCCATATTCAGTCAATCAAACAGGACATAAATTCATAAGATCCATTACTTTCACATTATGAAACAAAATGCCAAATGTGAAAACAGTTTATATTTTGTTTATATTGCATATTAACTTTCTTAAAGATGCAAGTCAAAGAAATTTACAGGTTAACCTAAAGTTATTTTAGTGGGCCAAGGCTCTTTTTCTTTTTCTTGAATTTAGGCGTGATCTTTTTCAAAAAGCATTTCCTTCTTTATATTTCTTCAAATGGCTGGGATAATAAAATCAGATCTTTGTTAATCAGTCTTTGTTACTTTTTGCCTGGGATACTAAATTTACATGTTATTTTATTCAAGACCTCTGTCCACCTGCATTTGTATAATACTTGGCAAGATAATTGGACAAATATACTAGATTTTATGGGACAATACAAAGACAACTTCAAAAAGGACAATACTGCTCGACATATTATTTGCCAGAGACTGAATTGAACAAGACAATTTACTGAGTTAATCATTTGATTTACTTGACTACAAACACAATGGACAACATGAGAGAGGAGGAAAAAATGGGATGAGCCAGGCGATACCCCAATTTGAACTAGTCTATGTCTTACTGCATGCCAAGTCAAGCTATGCCAGGACTTTGTCCAAGGCCGTCTCTTGGACTAAGTGACATTTACTCGAGACCATTTCCTAGAATACATCATGCATAAAAGAAGTGCTGTGCCTCGAGCCAGGTTGTAACAGAGTTCAAGACGGCACCCCTAGCCATGTCATGGTTGGGTCCAATACTACTCCCCAAGTTAAAGTCATATAGGAAGCCAAACAGTGCCTCAAGCTGGATCATCTCTAGCTTTCTCCCTAGGCTAGGTGATACCTGACCCTGAGCTAAGTCAAACCTACATCCAAAGACAGTACTCCAGGCAGGAGACTACACACAAGGTCTGGTTCTACTAAAGCCAGTTTCTTAAGCAATACATTTTGTTTGGTATTTTGAAAAATAAAAGAGTATTTGAAGCGCATAATTTTTTTAATTGCATCATGAAATAACTTTTTTTTCAGTTACTAGAGACATAATTTGTTGGAATTGATAAATCCTTTTTTAAAAAAATAAAGCTGGAATTTGATAATCCTATATTTCCGACCTAGTGAAACGAAACTGGATAAGTCATCATGTCTTGCACCGTTGAGACAATAACCAATACATTTCAATTGTGCCTATGTAGCTAGAACATAGGTTTGCAAGGAAGACCTTATAATAAACCAAAGAAAGGCACATACGTAGGAAAGTAAAACTCGCATAGCAAACGCCACCAGGCACAAAAATGGAATTATGAGATAAACAAATGAATCATATGAAGTGCAAGTGTATGCTAGAAAACAATATTACCTCCTTGGTACTAAGAGATCTCACAGGACAGGATGAATCTTGGACTCGAGAAACTATTTTCTGCAAAATCTGTGTATCTCAAAGTTTAAAAAAAAAAAATCAAAAAGAAAATAAGCTCAGGAAACTAACAGGAACTTGATATGGACATCCTAGATTGCAGTTGAAAATAATCAATGACAGAAGTAAAAATTAAATATTGTTTCAAAATTGGCTAGATCAAGATTAGCCCCACTGGCAATAGCAAACAAAATCAATCATAAGAACCACGAGACCAGCCCAGATGGGTCGAAGTAAAACTTTTGCATTCTATCAAAAGGCTGGTCATGTTACAGATGAAAAGTTGGTTGTGACCTCCCTTTTCTCGTTGCACTTTAGTGTCAAAACCCCACCAACACTCTTGAAGGGTGGCAACCCTTGTTACCTCGTTAATAATATCTCAATATTTTATTAAAAAAGCAAAAATAATTGTGCAAGTTTATGATGAACAACTACCAATAGCAAAGTTTAGCTTTAACCACCACAATATTGCAGATTAACGTATCCAAGAGCAAACCTACTTGTTTTTCAATGTTTACCATCCAAGACATCTTGGCCTCTTGTTTTCAATGTACACGAACCGTTCACAATTTATTCTCAATCAATTTAAATTAAGATTAATAATTCAACAACTAGGGGTCACATTTTATACTGGGGAAAAATAACCCTGATTGTACAGTAGGATATCCCAGTAAAATTAGTTGATTCAAGTGTGTATCCAAGGCTTTTGTTTACGTTAATTGTTTATAAAAGGTAAAAATAAGGGACTAGACAGTGGTTATATGCTGATTTTATGTTCTCTGATTCTCTTTCTTTTTTCTTTTCTTTTTCTTTGTTTAAGAGGATCTCTTATCTTCCCTTGTACTTTTCTTCATTCTCTTCCCAACAATATTTCTTTTTCATCCAAAAGAGTTCTTTTAGTCCTACTTGATCGTCATATTTGTATAAGTTATCATGCTCGCATATCCACCATTTGAGTCTCCAACAATTATTCCAATAATTACATATCTGATTTGACCTATGGACGAATATGCAAGCATACGTTTCATACTTGTTTGAGTAATAGCAATGAGATTCTCCAATATCATGCTAAGAATAGGTAGGATTTCCAGAAGAAGATGTTATTCGTTTGATGAGAAATAAAAAGGAATATCAAAAATTCGAGTGGTTGAAGCTGAAGCAGTTACTTTCGAAGTAACAGAAAGAAAAGCAACAACTAAAGTGGGAGAGTCAGAGTCAAAAAGATGATTCCTCACTTCTTTCTCTCATTCAAAACCGTGCATGAGATTTTCATCTCGCACGGCTCTTAAGTGATAGAAGTAAAGAAGGACTCATCTTCTTTCTTTTTTGATTACCTTTAATAGGTTGTTTCCTTCCTTGTATATTTAGGAAAAGAAAAGATTTACTAATAAACAAGGGTTGGTGAGGAAAAGAAACAAAGGTGGCCCTTTTTCTTCTCATCATACAAAAGGGGCTTGGTATACTTGTTTGAGTAATAGCAATGAGATTCTCCATAAGGCAGAGCAAGCAAAAAGAACATAAGAATGCGCTTTAGCACTCCTCCAAAAAAAAGGTTGACCTAACATGCCCTTTAATGAAAAATAAAGGAAAACCTCCCTAATATGACAAAGATGCACTGAAGGCCAATCCTATACAAAGGGATTGGACTCTATAGCCAACTTTACTCAACAAGCACCTTTATTAGTATGGTTGATTGTTTCCACTCATTGAAGATTATAGCAACAAAAGAAGGTCAATGGGGGATACTAAGGTAGCTCTTACTAACACCACCAACAAAAAGATAAGATCTTTCTTTTCAGCTACTATACGATTTGTCTTAAAGATAAAAGAAGATCCAAAGACGATTGGCACCTTCATTATTAATTTCTTTAAAAATCTCTACAATCTGGAGGACTTGGAATGGTGCCCGATCAATGAGATCAGGTTAGGGGGATTCAGAGAGCTTTTGGTTTGATCAAAATTAAGAGAGCGATTCTAACATTCACCCAATATGTTTGAGCATGAGCATCTATAAGATTATTTCTAAGGTAAGTCATGGTGACAAGGGGCAAGTTTTTCATGCCTATGGACTCTTTGACTTGCAAGAATCTAGAAAATCTTTGACAATCTATATACACCTTTCCATAAGCTATAGGAGAGAATGACTTCTTTGGCAACATCATAGGTTAAGGCACATGGAAAATTATCAGATATAGTTATTTCATACCTCCATTAGTATTAGGAGATCATGATTTTAGGCACTTAGGATTTCATATTTCTGTGTATTAAATTTTCCTTTTACTTTTTTGCTCATTATAGCTTGTTACGACTAGGAGAACGTCCTACCTTTCATCCTTTGTATTCAGTTTCCCTCTTATCTTAATACAGTTTCTTTTACCCAAAATAAAAAAAATTAAAAAAATTAAGTGCTTCCTTAGAGGTTGAGTGAGGTACTTGATGATATGATCTCTACAAACTAAAGTGCTTTTGTTGGTGGAAGACAAATTTGGATGCCACTCTCATTGTTAACCAGATGGTAAAGAAGTTCAGAAGATTAAGAAATAATGCTTTGGTGCTCAAACTAGATTTTGCGAAAGCCTATTATCATGTGAATTGAGGCTTTTTACATAAGGTCTTAGAGAGGAAAGGGTTTATTGCGACATGGAAGACTTGGACCTTGGGGTGTTTCTCTTATTGCTTTTTATTGTTTTCATTAATGGCAAATCTAGAGAGTGGTTCTGTGAGCAATGTGTTTGAGTCAATGGGACCCTTTATCTCCCTTTCTCTTTACGACTGTTCTTGATGTTTTGAGTCATATGCACCATAGATAAGATCTTAGAGAGGATAAGGTTTGGTGCATGATGGCAGGGCTGGATCTAAAGGTTTTCTCTTCTACTGCGTGTGCTGTTGTGGTCAAAAGCAAATTTAAAGCATTGTGGTTTGAGACAAAGGAATGACTTATCTCCTTTTCCCTTCACGATTTTTGCGGATGTTTTGAGTTGTATGCTTCATAGAAGTACTGACAGAGCCCTGATTGAGGGCACTAGGGTGAGTTAGGATAGGGGAAAGTTTCTCATCTCCAACTTGGGGAAGATATTATCCTCTTCCTCCATATGATCATTTAGAAGTTTTATAATGCCCCTACTATTTTACGTCTTTCATAAAGTCTCAAGCCTGAAAATTAACCTTAGGGAAAGTGGTCTACCAAGTCTTAATATTTTTTTAAAAAATAAAAGATAAAGTGTTATTATTCACAAAAGGTATTAAGCAAGTACCACCCAATTAATAATAGTTACATATCAATTAGATAATCAATGACGCACCCCAAATCATCCCAATATAATATGTCATGACCCAATAAAGTGGATACAAAAGCGTGAAACCATTTATCCTTAATGTTTACAAAGTCCGTTTCTATTTTCTCAAAAACTCTAACATTCATTCCCTTCCACAACCCAAAAAAATGTAAATGGAATCAAAAATAAATATTTTTTCTTTTTCCAAATACCTGTCCAAGCCCATAATTCTTTACTTATATTACCTGCCATAATCCACCTCATTCCCATCAACCCGAACATCGACATCCATAAGCTATGAGTACCGGGCAAAATAATAAGATGTGGTCACCTGTTTCCTCATCAACCTTGCATAAGAAACATCGATTAATATGGATGTTGTCCCGCCTCTTTAACATGTCAATAGTCAAAATACTTCCTCCTAAGGTTTCCCAAGCAAAAAAAGTCATCTTGGGAGGGGGTTAGCAATTTTCCAGATTTGTCTAAATGGGGCTGTCATATTACTCTCGTTGTCCTTTTTAGTTATAAAATTGTAATAGGACTTCGCCGAAAATCCATTCTTCTCATCCAACTTTTA